CTCATGGATTCTTGGACTTCGACAGCAGATGGTGTCTTCGTCGATGACAGCCTCGAAGATCGACGCCGCTCTCGAGCAGAAGGTGTTTCAGCTGCGTCAGCTTCTTTAGCGTCCCGTTTCCTTTTTCTTGTTGTTTGTTGTTTAGGAGGTTCTGAAGGTGCTTCGCTTTTAGGCTCCTCGTTCATATTCCCCGCAGACTCCAAGTCTTGTTCGAGTTGAGACGCGACCTGGGACTCCATATCATCACTGAACGAGTCTGCAATGCAGTCCGGATTTGTGTGTGTGTCCTCTTGACTCACATTGCCTTCCATGATCCCTTGGGCTATCTTGGGCACAGACTCGGCGACATGGACGCTTTCTAAGAACCCCGCCTTGCCATTGTCAAGGGGCTCTGGTACAGACTCTGTTTCCTGACGTGCTATAGGTGTCTGCTGTTTGCCCGTAGAAGAACGAAGACGGCGCTTGAGAGGCTTTTCCGATTGACCAGGCTCACCGTGCTTCCCTTTCCCGAGACCAGTATACTCGGATGTGACATTATTGACTGTCGTCTTCTCTTGGGTCGGAACTGCCCGGATATTCTCTTTCTCTGCGTCTGAAGGCATTTGAGGGAGATCTGAAGCGGTTGTTTTGTTGCGTGAGTTCGGACTGAGAGACCGTATACCTGGAGGGGAGGAGGGGGGATCGATATCCATACGCGAATCCATCACCTCTGTCGCTAGCGATGAGGGAATAGTTGAGCCGACCACCTGCGTCCTGCCTCTCGTGCCAGGGGTAGGGGAAGAGCCGAAGAAGCCGTCCTCGTTCTCGGCTGCAACCGCTGGGAACGTAGGCGTCCGAGGAGAATGTGTACTCATGTCTGGGTTGCTTAGTTGACGAGCGTGCGGCGGAGTCATGAATCCCAGTTCTCTCGGAGTTTGCACAGGAGGCGAAGACGAACGAATGCTGTCTATTATAGAGAACACGTCGTTGGGCTTGCTAGAGTCTTTACTGCCTGTTGTGAAAGGGTCCGACTCAATCCCGACAGTAGATCCGATATGTCTGTCCTTGAAGGGCGGCGCGGGCTGCCGTCTGATGACATCGGGATTTCGACTCAACGGCAAGGCTGTAACCTCTCGCTCATTCGTGACAGGCGACGAATGGAAACTGGGGGAACGAGAATGTTCGAATGTGTCATCTAGGATATACGAAATGCGAGACTTGATTGACATATCTACCGGTTCACGGGAACCCTCTGGTGAGACGGAATTGGTGCGTACGCCACCCTAAAAACATTAGTTCATAGTACATTTCAGACTGCTGGGGTGCACACCTGTGTATTACCAGCTCGATGCACAGATTGGAGCTGGTGCAGTTTCGCCAGGGCACGAGAAATGGCCTCAGGATATTTCAGGGTCTCCTGCGATCCAAATGTAGAATTCCAGAATTCTAAGAATCTCTTCGCAATTGATGTATGAGAGGATTCGAGCCCCGCACCGATAATGAATTCGAATCTAGGAAGACACGAGGCGTCATGGGGGGAAGAACTTTGCAAAATATTGATGACAGCTGACGACAAAGCACGGCACTAAACCCAAGTTAGTATGTATCTAAAAAAGGCCCCTTGCTTAGTACACGTACAGCTGTAAGAATCCTGCTTTCAACGCCACTCTCGATATTGAGTTTGCGTGCCTCATCTCTGAGCCAAAGCGCAAGGGATCCTTGGAAATTTTCAAGTAATTTCCGTCGAAAAGCCAAGATACCGGAGCCTAAAAAGGATGTCAAAGACTCTATAAAATCCGCGACACCGCTGGTCTTCGATGGATCGAATGTTGAGTAAGATTCTTGGAGTGTGCGATCCACCAACTGTACCAATCGATGTGGAAAGAATACGCCTTCTTTGGAACCGCTTGTGATGGCCTCGCCTTCCTTCCTGCCCGAATCGCTCTGATGGCAGTATGGGATGGATAGTGACTGGGTGAAGAGTGACGACAATGGAAGATACGTGTTCCGAGCCTCAATTGTCATCATGCATTGAGCTAAAGGTTCCAAAGTCATCGATGCGATGGCCCTGTCCCCTTTCTCGGTTCTCATGACACGAACTAAGGCATCAAGAAGCTGATTCCATGCCGGGAAAACAGTGGAAAACTTGAGCCCTGTAGAGAGGATCTTGACAACATTTTCATAGTCACGAATCACGGATCCATCTCGTTCGCGCGCAGATTCAAGCGGGAAAGACCTTAGAGACTCCGCAGCCAGCTGCGCAGTTGAATTCCACGCGATTTGAGCAAAGTTTTGGACGCCAAAGTCAAAATCGGCATCATTCGGATACAGCCGCGCGCATTGCTGAAGGAGTTCCAGACGGGAGCCTCGGGATGTTCTACCTTTGCAAGCAGCCTCAAGCGTACCATCAACCAGACGCAAGTAAGAGGGTGTAGGTTCAGGGACCCCAGTCACGTCACTTATGAATCGGAGAAGATGTAGGATTGGGCTGTCTAGGTTAGTGTTTGCCCGCAGAGGATGATGCGTTGGCGTATTAGCAGCCTGGAAAGTCTCATTGGCTGTTTTCAGGAGAAGTTTCTCAGTAAATGGGATGCCTCCCAGAGAAAAGATCATGGTAGTGGACAGGAACCGAAAACGGTCAAAGAAAACATCCATCGAGTCGTCACCAAGAGCGTTGAGCGAGGAAGGACCGGCATTCCAAAGCCGTTGGAGAAGTCCAAGCACGCTGGCAACAGCTTGCATGGATTCTGGGGATGGCGTGATCTCTTTACTTGAGGCATAGGACAAAGCCTGAGACAGGCTGACCCAGGCAGCAGCGATATTCGATTTATCCAAATCATCAGCCCAAAGGGAAGTTCTGAAGATGGCTTCGAAGACATTTAGGATAATCGTGATTCTTGACCTCACCCACCTGCAGTCGATGGAAGGCAGCTCCTCAGGTTCGAGTCTCGTGCTCTCGTTGACTTTGTTCTCGGTCCATATCTTGGCTTGTGGGCTCCAAAGTAGGTTGGAAAGAGCGTGACAGAATCGATCGTTCAAGTGAGGAAATGAGGCAAACACGTTGGAGGGGCCAGCAACGTACTCTTCCCAGACAATATCGAGGTGTTGGAACGTTGCAGACGGACGAAATGCATAGTATAATAGGTTGTGGTAGCTGCACAAAGCTAATTGTCCAGGCTGTGATCCATGTCGTTCTTGCTTCTTCCGCTCGAACTGGGACATGATGGGTTTGCTTAGCATTCTCAGCATTGACCGACTCGTCGTGTCGCTGGGGCTGACGACGTAGACAAATCGGTTCCAACCAAGAATAGCCTGAGCTTTGATAGATGATTCACTGCAGTTGAAGCACCTCTGCAGCACAAGGACCCATTCTTTAAAATGCTCCCATTGGTCGATACTGAGCCTTTTGCTTCTCAAAAGCAAGACTATGATGCTCCATGCCTGGGGCACATGTACGCCACTTTCGACGTTTGCCATCATCCTTGACATTCGCTCGCATATTTCCGATACTAGTTTTCTGCCATTGTCCAAAGGACGATCGAATAGGTCACGAATACTTTTCGACAAATTGGGATTCGGACCGCAAATCATCGAAGTTTGAAAGCCCAAAGAGATGGCTTTAATCCTTGTATCTTTGACGTGGTGAAGGAGACCGGATAACAAATGCTCTACCCAGAGGCCTGACTGGGAAACGAAAATCGACTTGGACTGAGTAAGAAGGCGCTGATAAATGCTTAGACGCTGAAAGACTATTGCATTTCCATTCACACGGCTGGTAATGTCTTCGAGTACGGTAAGTAGACGGATGATCCGCGCGTTTGTCATGATTTTTGAATGGAAGTTTTGTGTAGACAGGATGGACATATAATGTGTCAAGACGGATTTGGGCGCTTTCGCGCTTTCAAGGGCATTGATGGAGTGCTCCACAAGGAAGATCTTGAATTCGTCTGGGAGTTGCGCAGCTATCTCGATGTTCCATGAGAGCGCAGCGGCTAACTTGAGAGCTTGAATGACAAGATTCGTGCCTAGAGGCACACCATCTCCAAGATCTGTGCTAAGATCCCGTTGGATGAACTGGGTAATAAGCCCAAGTTTCTGCCCGATTTCTTGCTCACTGGGAAGCCCTTCGTAAGCCCTCAGGGCCCCAAAGAACTGCATATACGCATCCAGTCTCGAACTTATCGATTCCCCAGCCAATTGTTGTGTGATCGACTCGAGCAGCATGGCGAAGGATTCGGGAGTGCACGGTGCGGCGTCGGTTGTGTCGATCGGAGGATGCGCATTTGTCGTCTTCAGAATCGACTTTGTCGGTTTGCGTTCATTCGAAGGGGGCAGCTCCTTGAGATCCGACTTCAATCTGAGAGCAGAATTTGTAAACGACGGAGGTTTGATGTACTTGGTCCATGGCGAGAAGTTCACCCGCTTGGATTGTCGAGTAGACGGAGCACCAACGGAACTGTCCGCGGCGAAAGGAGAATCGACGGGAGTCTGTACGACGATAGGAGAATCTTCTGTTCGATCTTTCTCAGATAGTATACGAGAGCCTGTCCTAGGTGGAGTGGGCGGACGAGCAGACAGAGGGCCGACAACCTCCACCATATTTCAGGCAGATCGAACGATCAAGGAAATGAGGACAGGGACGGCAAGAGAACAAAAAGCATGGCGATATGGTCAAGCTACAAGACTCAGGCCAAGCTAAACATGCGAATGCCTGCGAAAGATGTTCAGCAGTAGTCCCCAGAGCCTTGATGCCCTTTGCGATCTGTTTTCAGTAGTAGATCGCTCCTAGGGCCGCGCCAAGCCTGGGTGTTAAAGTTGGAAAGACGCGCTCCAAATCTGCGATCGCGACGTGTGGCTGAGGCACGCGTAAAGTGGTGGCTACCAGATGTAGTGCCTAAGGCACTAAGGCAACCAACCCTTCAAGCCTTACCAGATGATGATGTGAGGGTAGGTGGAGATTATATACGCAGCAGGTCTTAGAGAATTTAGGATGGCTACCTGCCTTCTCGAGACTTCTTTGTCATTATGCCTATACCGAATAAAAGAAAATTTTTGTGGCTAAGTACCTTTTAGATTCGACTTACCACTCCGTACGGTGGACTACTATATGTGGGGTTGCGGTTATCCACCATACTACTATTTATTCATTGTTTCAACTAGCCGCATCTCTTTACCCCATTTCTTTGACTCCCTTAGGTGGCCTAGAATATTTATCTCACTTGATTTTCTTTAAACAGTAGTCCTGATACTCTTGAGTCTGTGATCTCTTGTGAACTGGATTGTCGTTGGCGGCCGTTATCCTGTTTGGGTCACTCGTACGGGATCAGGCTTGCAGGGGGTTTCCTCGGAGGGCGTACAGAGCTCAGCTCGATTGATCAAGACCCACCAGTCGTCGGCATAGAGTCAAGAGGATGATGGCAGGTATGTCTCGATGATCTCATTAGTGAAAAGGTACCCGAATGAACCAGCTGATCAATACAGACAAATCGAAAGAGGTAACGGAGCTTTTGAAAACTCTTGAGAATGATCTCAATGACAGATCTCTCACATCTGCCCGTAAGTCGTACAAAGCTAGCCATCAGACTGGTCATTCTGACTTAGCGGACTTCCTGGTGCAGAAAAGGCTGAGAGACTCCTTCGTCTAAGAGAATATGGCACAAACCCAAGCAATGCAGGGCCCATCTATTCAGAGTGGGTAAGGGCGGCTCATAACACTGTTTACAATGCGTACGTTCTTACTCTCACAACAGGGTATGAAAATACTGGGTAGATACGGAGTTGAGGGAGAGACGCCAGATGTGCGTCGCGCGGCACTGCGCTGCGTCGCGAACGCCCTTCTACTGGATGACAAAATGCGTCAGATTTTCGTGGACACAGGATATGGAAGCAAATTAGCTGAGATGCTCAAGGTATGACCGCCATCTAACCTAAGGTCCCGGGCAAGCTGAGACAGGATTTTGCAGTGCGATAACTCGGAAGATGAGATGGTCATCAGCCGTATACTGTTCATATGTACTTATGACACTACCATGGACTACGAGCTGCTTATCAAGAATCACTCACTGGGTGATAATGTCAATTATGTGAGTCCACTGACAGTCTAGTTGATGCATTTTACTGACAACTACAGCAAATAATTCGGCATGCAAAGCAATTTCCCAAGTCTGGCAAAAAGCCGTTGGCCCAGATAGACGAGCTGGCACTTACTGACACGTTGAAATTGATATTTAACGTCTCAAAGGTCTATCCAGATCTTTCCGCAACCTTCTCCCCTTCGATTCCTTATATCTTCAAGATCATTAGCCGCATTGACATTCCACCTAAACCTCTAGACGGCTTATTGGGATACCTCCTCAACTGCCTGTCAACTCTCGATCTGGAGAATAAGAAGGGAAAGCACTTCGAGAGCAGTCCCATCTTCCCGACGTTCAACCAAAACTGCAACGTTGACAAGCTCATCAACGTTCTTGATCAAGCAGTATCTGCATATGACGCCAAGGACCTCGCAACGAAGGCCATCCCACTTCTCCACTCACTTGTGACCATCTACGAAGTGGCACCTGATGGGCCCCGTAAATACATGCAGTGGCTCCTCTTGCCGGAAGATAGGGATAGGAAACAGCCAATTGGCACGTCAGATACGCTATCTTCCAAGCTGCTGCGACTGTCAACCACGCCATACCAGAATTTGAAAATCGCGATCTCCGAGCTCATGTTCGTTCTCTCAGGCAAAGACGCAGAGAACCTGACAAAGAACATCGGATACGGATTCGCCGCCGGACTACTAGCCTCTCGTGGTATTGAGATACCACAATCTGCGAGTGAAGCTTTCGCAACCAATTCGAATGGCTTTGACCCAGAGATTAACCCTATCACCGGCCAACGATGGGATGCCGAGAAACAGGACACGGGCACGCCAATGTCCAGAGAGGAGAAGGAAAGGGAAGCAGAGAGGTTATTCGTGCTTTTTGAGAGGTAAGACAAAGTTCATACATCATTGATACCACATGCTAATCCTAATTGCAGAGCCAGAGCTACTGGGGTTTTGAATGTCGAAAATCCAGTCAGACAGGCTGTTGAAAGTGGACGGTTCGAAGAGTTACCTGACTCTGATGAAAGCGATTAATGCAACGCGTTTGAGCTATCAGTTTCCATTCATGTTTTGCCATAGCAGCCTTTCAATTCAATATATCAAAAATCCAATGTACTGTATGTTCCTCACTTCAAGCACAGGTCGCGCTTTGTAATTGCTCCTGCCAATGAGCGATGTGATTTGACTGCAGCATCAGAACCTCCGTTTATCTTCTATAATCTGTTAAAACATAACCATTACAGTTTTGTCGCATGATCTTCAGGAACCGTCTACTATCATCCACTATCTTCTGCGATAGCTGATGACGTACGGTCTTAGCCTGGTGGGGTTCGCGGCCACCATGCAAAAATCTCCGCCCAAAAAAAATCGCGGGGCAAACTTATCACCAGACTAAACTTTTCACATATTTAACGCCGATTTAAGTTCCTTCATCTATACCCCGTTCTCATTACAGTATTTACATCTTGGAAATATATTACCGGGAGCTACAGTAACTACAAAATGTCGAAGCCATTCGACCCGGAGACGGCGGAGAACCTGGAGGATGTAAGTTTATGTTGAGACCTTGTCCACCTAAGCAATGCGACGATTAACTGACAATAATCATGACTTCAGATGGAGAAGCAGTTCGCGGTGAAGGGTCAGTACCCCTCAGTCGATTGAAACTCCCATTCATACTTATCATTTTCCCGGTGTAGCCGTCGAACACTTGATGACATACTGGGCGATTCTCGAGAAGGTCCGCGGTTCGCAGCTCAGATTAACAAAGATGGATGACGATATCTACGAGCACTTCAAGAGGGAATTTCCCGACTTCGATCCTGCGGCACCCCTCGACGAGGATAGTATGAAGAGCAAGGAGGGCAAGGAAAAGTGGCGGAAATTCATCAACGAGTACGAGAAGAAGGTTAGCGACTACAACTTCGGAACCATACTCAGAGTCAGTCCCGGTGTCGAGTACGATCAGGACACAACCATTTTCGGTAAGTTGCTACTCTGTGCTGATTCGTTTGGCAAGGTGCGAATAGCTACTAACCGTCACTGAAGCAATGCGTATGCAATTCTACGCTATCGAGATTGCCCGGTAAGCCACTTGCGCCCCATTTCATATTGTACGCGCATAGATTCTGACTAGTCCAGAAACCGGGCCGGTCTGAATGACTGGATCTATGAGAGGGCTCATCCGGAAGAGAAAAACGCCAGCTCGTAAGACCGACTTGGATTCCTTTGTTCTCTGGTCCTTGTAGGACTGCCAATCGGAAAGAGTTAGCGGCGCCACGAAGTGTCAATGTACTCGAGATTGCCTTGCCAGCGACGTAGCGTCAAAAGAGCTCCTCAGACAGTGCGTCCTTGATCGTTATCTGTCGCTCAAGTTCACCCTCTGAGATATTACCTTTGTTGAGCAGTCTGAAGGGCCTCGGGAAGAGTCGCTTCTACTTGGCTCGGCTATCTTTGAGCCATGTTAGAGCGATAACCTACTCAAACTTCGCTTCGAGTGGCTGTGACTCTCCAAGCGGCTATCCAGAAAGCGATGAATCCGTGCGCCGTTCGCATAACAACACAATACTGTAGGGAAATGCATACATTTACTCGATATAGCCTTTTACCGCAATTTATGGGATATCACTTATGTACATAGATTTTGGATGCATAATCTGATTTGTTTTGCGCACCAGATAGCACGTGACCCTTTGTCTCTCGCAAGCGAAGAACAATGTTAGCGGCGAGGCTTCAACTTCCTTTGTTTCTTTGAGCTGAAAGGACTGCCTCAATATTACCGCATCTGGTATCGAAGCAGAGAATGCAAAGAAGAATGAAAAGGGTCCCCGTAATGCTTCACATTGACAGCATGGAGACGGCCAAGCGTTCCGGTTTTCCTTGTCTGCTTAAATATATTGCCTACTTTATGTATCATTCTCAAAGTAATGGTCTTCTCTCACACTTTCAGTCTCATCCGACACCACTGAAAACCTGGTAGAGGACGATTCCCGACCAGCCTCTACAAGATGACGTTTGCCTTGTCAATATCACTCCGCAGTCTCAGACGCATATTGCACTGGAGATGGAGTTGGATGTCATTGTTTGGCTTTACCACCAAGAACCATATGCCCACTTTGAGTCTCGCGACGGTGCTTGCTCTCCTTGCTAGCTGTGTTACGCCTGTATTCGCCGTCCTTCTGGGAGACATTTTCAACTCGTTCACATCGTTCGGCGGTGGTGATATTAGTGGCGACGACCTACTCCGGAAGGTAGCGAGACACGGCATCGCGCTTTCAGGCTTAGGTATCGCTAGCTGGGTACTTAATGGAGCGTACTTCAGCCTCTTCATCGTTTTTGGGGAGCTACAAGTCTCGAACGCTCGAACCAGGATCTTCGAAGGACTGCTGGGGAGGGACCAGGAATGGTTCGAAACACAGAAGGATGGCACAAAAGCTTTCTTGTCTTATATTCAGGCGTAAGTTATCTCCCTCTGATGTGTATGGTGTTATGCTTTGTTTATCTTACCTCCATCATAGCCAAATGTCCGAATTGCAGATGGCAACGTCGCAGCCGCTAGGGCTCATCATGCAATACACCTTCAGAACGATCATTGCGCTGGGATTGGCATTCTATACCTCGTGGAGTCTTGCGTTTATTACGCTAGCCGGGATCCCAGTTTTCTCAGGCGTCGTTGCCTTTCTTTCTTCTCGAATCAAGCCAAGAATCGAAGCCCAGCAGGTTGAACTTAGCCGTGCCTCAAAAGTCGCCAATAACGCTACGAGTCTGATAGACACGGTCAAATGTCTCAACGGACAGGCATTCGAGCTTCGCGATTTTGCCGTGAAAATCAATAGTGCTGCAGCTCAATATCTCAAGCAAGCACACCTAAACTCCCTACAGATAGCAGTCATACGATTCATGATGTTCGGCATGTTTATTCAAGGATTTTGGTATGGTACTGCTCTAGCGACATCTGGGAAACTCACTGCCGGTGCAGTCCTGAGAACATTCTGGGCCTGCTTGACTGCAGCTCAGTCGATCGAGCTAGTCTTGCCGCAAGTAATAGTGATGGAGAAAGGCAAGGTTGCAGCGGTAATGTTAAAGGATCTTCTGAACGGCCGAAGAGTGAAAAAGGACCCTGAGGGGTTGAAAGGAGCTTCATACCCCCGATATTGTGACGGTGATATCGAAGTGTGCGATGTAAGTTTTCCCGACTGACAATTACTGCCCAATTTCTAACCCTTTCATTCCTTTTTTCTTTTAGCTTTCTTTCACCTACTCTTCTCAGCCCGAAAGGTCCATATTAAATTCAGTCAGCTTCTTCTTTCCTGCGGGTGAGACGACTTTCGTGATTGGAGAAAGCGGATCTGGAAAGAGTACGCTCGGACAATTACTTGCACGATTTTATATGCCCACCTCAGGCGAAATACTAATTGATGGCAACGCAATTCAGACTCTCAGCCTCAATTGGATCAGGAACAACATCACACTTGTCGAGCAACGGAGTGTGCTTTTCAACGAGTCCGTTTTGACTAACATTGCCTTCGGCCGTCGAGCACACGAGACAGTGACGAAGGAAGACGTGCGCGAATGCATTGATTTGGCAATGCTCAGGGACACCATTGATAGCTTGCCAAATGGTCTCGACACGTGCGTTGGGCCCGGGGGAAGCTTCTTGAGTGGAGGTCAAAGACAGAGACTGGCGATTGCACGAGCTAGGCTACGGGACACTCCCATTCTCATCATGGACGAACCTACGAGCGCCCTGGATGGCAAAAACCGTATAGCAGTGATGAGAGCGATACGGGAATGGCGCAGAGGGAAGACGACGATCATTATCACACACGATATGTCACACATCATGGACCAGGATTACGTTTACGTCCTCGAGCATGGCTCTGTTGTGCAATCAGGATACCGGCATGAGCTAGAAAATAGCCCAGCGAAAGAGAAATACTTTCCTTTCAGCGAAAGGCAAATCTCTTCGAAAAATCCTCCGAAGCCGGAAGTCTCCTACGTCAATGACGAGATGCAGGAGATAGTCAATGTTCCGAATACTATCTGTGCAAGTAACTTTGGCTTCCCGAAGCACAAAGAAACACCAGTTCTGTCAAGGAGAACTCCTTCGCAATTTAGGAACGCTCAATTGTTCGACCGCAGAATGCAAGAAATGCAGCTTTCCGCAGGACTGAGTAACGTGGTTAAGGCACAGGCGACGTCCCAAGCAGAGGAGATCTCGATACCTGATGGAGTTGCTATACCGATGCATGAACTAAGTATGGCGCAGTCACGCAGATCATTCATCTCTGCCAGTCGACTCCAATTACATCGCGCTTCTCTGACTCCCCCTATTCCTCAAGCTGAAGCAACAACTTATTCGCAGTCTATCAAGGGGCCGCAACCCGCGAGAGGGAACACTCCACTTTCAGGACAGCATCGTCTCTCTATAAACCAGATCATGCGGACATTAGTGCCCAGCCTCACTTCGAGACAGCGGTTGCTGCTCCTGCTCGGAGTCATAGCTGCACTGGTGGATGCTACTGCAACACCTGTTTTCTCTTACTGTCTCTCTCAGCTCTTCCAGTCATTCTACGACATAAAAGTTAGCTCCTTGAGATGGGCGCTGGCTGTTCTAGGTGTCGCTGTAATTGACGGGACTGCGTCTTACTTCATGCATTATCTTTTGGAGGCTTCAGGCCAGGCTTGGGTCGATCAGCTTCGCAAGGAGGCATTCAAACGAGTGTTAGACCAGCCTCGGCAGTGGTTCGATGAAGAAGGCAATTCGCCCTCCAGGATCACTGCTTGTCTTGATCAAAACGGGGAGGATATGCGGAACCTAGTAGGCCGTTTCGGCGGCTACGTCCTAGTGGCTGTGGCAATTACCGTGACCGCAGTCATTTGGTGTCTAGTCGTTTGCTGGAAGCTCACCCTGGTGGCGCTGTCATGCGGTCCCGTCATCTATGCGATTACCAGGGGATTTGAAGGAACCAGCGGACTATGGCAGGAGCGGTGCAACGAAGTTACCAGGAACGCATCCGACGTATTAGTCGAGACATTCTCAGAAATACGTACTGTGAGGACCCTGACGCTCGAGCCGTTCTTTCACAAGAAATACTTGAAGGCGGCGTCAAAATGCATGAAAATGTGCCTCAAGAGGGCGGCTTACACTGGGATTTTGTTCGGCCTTGTGGAGTCTACGATTATCTTCGTGAGTGGTGAGTAGGCGCCTCCCTCGTTTCGCAGACTCTTCTAAAAGACTATACAGGTTTGATTTTTTACTACGGAGCGCTTCTCGCATCGTCCGGATATACGGTTGAAAATGTGATGACCGTATTCTCGATGCTGCTGTTTAGCATTGGATATGCGAGCACGGTACTTTCATGGAGTAAGCCTTGTCCATCCCTGACACATGCTTAGACAATCTCGCCTGCGCGATTGCTAATTTCTTTCAAGTTCCGCAAATCAGTGCTTCTCAAGACATGGCTACTCAGCTGCTACGACTGGCTAACCTACCTGTTGGGCAATCCCATGAACATAAGGGTGACAAACGCCCTCTGAAGGCAGCACCGGTGAAAATACGAAGTCTGACCTTTCGATATCCATCGCGGCCCGACGCTCCTGCTCTCCGAAACGTGACTCTCGCCATAGCTGAGAATTCTTGCACAGCAATTGTAGGTGGCTCTGGATCAGGAAAGTCGACCATAGGATCCTTGATTCTCTCTCTCTACGAAACACCGCTGTCCAGATACGAGACGCCGACCATCTCAATCGGGGGTCTGGATATCCGACGCCTCCACACGCCGTCCCTCCGTTCCCTGATATCGATTGTCTCACAGCAGCCTACGATATTCCCAGGCACCATGCATCATAATATCTGTTACAGCTTGAGAGACGAGTCCCCCTCCGTGAGTTACACAATGTTCGTGCTGCAGCTCAAGCTGCGGGCATCGATGACTTCATCGTGTCACTTCCCGACGGCTATTCGACTACCATTGGGGACGGTGGCGTGGGCCTGTCCGGTGGCCAGGCGCAGAGATTGGTGATTGCACGAGCTCTTGTACGTCGGCCGCAGGTGCTGATCCTGGACGAGGCAACTTCGAGCCTTGATCCAGAGAGTGCAAAGGTGATTCGGCACACAGTGCAGAGGCTGGTTTCGGCTCGATCAGGCCTTACCGTGATAATCATTACGCATGCCAGAGAGATGATGGAGATTGCGGATAATATCGTCGTCCTTGAACAGGGGTCTATTGTGGAACAGGGCCCTTACGAAGTTCTTGCAAGGCGGCGCGGTGGAAAATTGAAAGCTTTGATAGAGGACGGTGAGGGCGTTGACTCATAGTCCAACAGCTTACTATCTCAAATATGACGTGACTTATTGCACATTAGCGAAGTGGCGATTAAACCAATCCAGCGCCTGATCTTCTGCCTCAGTAGCTTGCTGCTCTCCATCTGGCAGAAGACGGTCTGCTCGCACGCAGAACCCATGACTAGCCCCGTAGTAAACTTTCACCTCACCAATCTTATCCTCACTCTCCATAATGTTCTTGATCTGCTCAATCTGCGGCTTTTTCACAATCACATCCAAATCCCCCAGGGCAAAACTAACCGGGATCGTTATCTTCTCAATCTCCCCGGGGATGCTCAAGAGGCTAGGATGTCCCGTGAATCCAGCATTGATCAACGGTTTGCCGTCTACTTCAACCCCGTGAGCCAGATTGACAGTGTGCTTGCCTCCCCAGCAGAAACCGGCTGCTGCGATGGGAAGCTCAGCTCCTTCGTTCTGACGGACAGCAGCGAAGAATGACTTGACGATGGGCCAGGATTTACTGAATCGGTTGAAGTACATGAATGGAACCATGGCGTAAATCGCGCCAGCGATATAATAGCTGTTTGACTGCTCAACATTCTCGGACATGTGTTTGTCAGGAAAGAGAGACTTACGGTTTGACAAGCCAGTCGTACAGGGTATCTGTCTTGAACAGATTCGCCATGAGGTTTATAGCCCACACAGGGGCCGAGCGTCCTATTCAAGTGAGCTATAACGTCAAATTTGTTTCTCGTCTCTACCGGCACCAAGCTACATCCTGAATGCTTTGATTTCTCACCATTCATGAAATCCGGTAGATAAACTCTGTACTTGCCCTTCTGGGCATAATGATCCGCCAGTATCCGGTTATTGACAAACTCCCAGCCGAACGCATCCGGAACGATAATGATAATCCCTTTTGCTGAGTTACCCGTTGGTTCTGGCGTTGGCGATGCAACGTAGACGTCGAGTCCGTGCAGTTTGGTCACCTCGCCCTGTGGTTCGCCAGAGTGTACATGGCCGCTGAAGCACCCGGGGCAGGACATGGATGTATTCTGCAGATGAGTAGGTCACTAATGACTGCTTGTTACTCTGATAGAGTCGATGGAAGTTGAGGAAGAATGATGAAATCTACAAGCAGGGCATGGGATGATGTGCTTCCGTGTTTGCTGGGATAGTTGATCTGACAGCATGTGACACCACTAGGCCAAAAGGGCGTCCGGACTATATTTCAGTCAGGATAGGGTCTCATATCTGTGATCATAGCGGTATTCTATTTTCTAACAGACAGTGATGATGTTCTCATCCACGACCAGAGTCCTGTTAGTGCAACCTTAATTTTCAGGCTGTAAGACTGGTAGCTACTAAGGTAGCTACGTTGTTTCAAAGGACAAGGCCTGTCATGTTTTGTGCTGTGTTTTCACTGATTGCTTCTCTCTACAGAGTAAATCGATGTTCCTACACGAAGACGATATTTCCCCACTGATAAGATAATGATTGCTCCGTGGTGAAATGCTACTGAAACAGACCAATTGCCCATTTCCGCTGCGGTTGCTTAATGCAGGAAAGAAGCTTTGGTTGGGTCTTCCCAACACACACACACTATCTACGGAATAGCCAATACGGAGTTTAAAAGGCTTGAAGCAGGACACTATCAGACAGATTTCTGGTAACATTCCGGTTCTTCCGAGACCACCAGAAGAACCATGGAATAGCCCGGGACAAATCGTGGACGGATCCTTCAGAGTCTCAGACAGTTCGGTACAATTCTAAAAATGGATCTTTGGCTTGCGTCGGCCATCAAGAATTGATAAGCTAGCCGCCAGTCATTGTGAAACCACACGAGCTTGGCAAGGAGTGGACTGTGGCGGGTGCTTTTACGGGTCGCAACAACCATGGTATGGTAGACTATGGAGTACCATGATCAACAATCACAGTCCCTGCTTGATGTCAGAATTATGGACCTGGACAGGCACTAGAGCGTGTAAGCAATAGATACGTCTTTCAAACAGGAAAAATTGAGGCCTACCTCTCTAAGGGTACCAATTTGTCGGCCTTCCGCCTTCAAACTCACCAGCCACCCTGGGCAGTACTAATACCAAAGGGATCTTCCTTTCAGCCCATTAATGACAGCCTTTGATTAGCTTGGTCTGCTCTCAGGCATATAGTTTCTGCTGTTGGGTCATTGTCCTAGTACTAGTCTACTATCTACCCCATACTCCAGCCAAATCATCACAGATCCTGCCATAATTCACGCCTTTTTTTGTTCTTTCTCTTTTCTCTCCTCTCACCTCCTCTTCCATGCTTGTCTGCACTGTCCATGCCCTCAATCATGGATTTAGTGATTGTTAACACTGTCTTCCTAACCTATATTGTTCTGTGATGATCTGATGCGATTTATTAACTTCTATATATAACCTCTGATCTGCTGCGCCGAGACTCCCTGCCTCTGCTGTCTCTTCAGCGAAGTGTTCTTCGCTCTGACTTCAGTTCCTCTTGATATCTCTTTCGCTAACAACAAAGACATCAAGATCCGTCCTGAAAGGAACTTAAAGGAGACACTACATTCTTAATACCTAGTGGATCGGGCGGCTGTGATGTATATCCCACCCCAGGTTCGTGGGCTGATGGCCCGTCAGAATGGCGGCAACACCATCCCTGACACCAATTCCCAAGCCAGTGATAGAAACATCATTTTTGTCATTGTGAGTGTTCATCCTTGTATTCATGTTGCTTTAATACTTGTTCTCAGCTAATTGTTTGGACTGCTAGGTCGCTCTGGCTATTGTTGTCTCGTTCCTCCTGCTCGGCGCCTCCTACTTCGGTCTGAAATATTTGCGTCGGATGGGCTGCTCCCCTAAATATCTCCCAGGAAAATACTTGAAAGACAAATGGAACCGCTGGGACCCTGGAAAGTTCTATAACCAAGTCTCAAATGACGTTCGGAACGGATCGGCTACGGGCGCTGAAGCCACGGAGATGACGACCGCGAGAACGACCAATCCCATTCGTCGAGATGCTTCCATTCGGTCCGTGGCCACTCTTCCTGCCTATTCAGCAAATCCCAAGCCTGAGGAACAGGTCATCGCACGTGAAGGTGAAAGAGACGGTATGGATACCGTGATCGAGTTTCCCGAGACTGCTGAAGAAGAAGAGGCTCGCCGGGAGGAGCTCATGGCGTCGCTGTACGAAATCCGTCAGCGCCGGCGCGAGGAACTGGCAGAACGCGAGGCTAGGCGACAGGCACGGCGTGAGGCTCGCGAGCGTGGAGACCGTGCTCAGCTAGAGATCTTACGGGAACAGGATCGACTCCGTGCTCGCCAACGTGCAAGAAGTCGGTCATCCACCAATGCCAGCAATAGTGCCACCAACCTCGCTACGGCTTTACCAGAGCATCAGACTCGTGGTCGCGGCAGGCGGATTGCCAGTGTGAGCTACGCGGACGTGGGCTACGTTCGTCACGATGGATCGCGAGTCCGCGCAACTTCACCCGATTCCGATCGTCGCCCCCTACTGTCGAACGGCCCTTCCGGCAGTTTTGATGCTTCTAATAGGTCTTCTATGGTCGATACCCCCAGCATTCACTCCCGGGGAGAGTCCTACTCATCCGCCTCGACTGGTCCCGTCGATCCAACTGCATTGACTCGGGTGGACTCCCAAGCACATTCTACCGCCTCTACCCTTCCATCCACCCCAGGCGCTGAGGAGGCCGATGTTGGAGCTCTCAGCATCCCCCCTCCGGAATACGATCATCTGGACTGGGGCGAGGCCCCTCCGTATCAAAGCCCCGTCGCCGAAAGGAACGAACATACCGCGCCTCTTCGGGAGCTGACAGTTGTTCCTACTATTCATATTGATACAGCAAGTCCTATCAGCGACAATTTCCCGGCGACTGCTCCTCGTGAGTCCAGAGAGCAGCACGATTCGCGTGCGGAATCTTCTGGAACTCGCTAGCTTTGCAGTCCACACAGGTCTCGCTGTCTCTCTACTTAAGCTTTTCACTTACAACTGGGAGGTGTGCAGCGCTGACTGCATCTCGAATGCGTTTTATCTCCTGCATCGGACGGCGATTTTACGTGCATGACTAACGACGATTCATTTTCTCTCATAACGGTCTGGGAGGAACTCTAAATAGCATGGCGTCTGGAGCTACATTGGGTAATCTCTCTTTTATCTGTTGTCATCTGTGTCTTCTGTATTTCTCTCCTGGTTCCTTATCTCAACATGTACATTGAGATGATGTTGCCGCTGCTCGAGGAGTTGATCCCGCGCAGTTGGAGGAGACGAATGAAAATAGTCGACTCATGAATTGCTACTTTACCTTTTAATGCGCTCGTATCCCAAATTATGAGTGAGAATAGAGCAGTCCAAATACTTGCAGCATGCTTTTGGGTTGTTGTCCTCGTATGGTTGGTAGGTAGACTATTTAGGCGGTCACTCCGACGGCAGCTCCACCTGGCCGAGTAAACAAATCAACAACTCCCCCAGCCTCCTCTTTTCCCGTCCTGCGGAGTGTCAAAAGTGACTTCTGATCATCCATCGCATAATTTTGCGACTGATGCAAATAATCCGACTCTAATTAATTGCATTACTCTTTTATAATCTCCGTTGAGATAGCCATACCCTGGTTGCCATTATCTTTTCGCGTGGACGCTCGTGGCCGCCGACGCGCTTTACCAAAACATACCCAGCGATTACCCATCACTTTCTGGGAGTTATAACGTCACTCCCAATTTAAGCACAAGCATTCATGTCTGAAGTCAATTGAGCTTCAACTCACCTGTATTGCTACATTTGCTTTTGGAACAAGACGCGTCATAGGTTTTGACTATGTCGCGCGAGAATACCAGACGCTCCGAAGCCACGACAAACAGCTTCGCGTCGTTTGGCTCCGATTTTGACCCAGAGCACGAAGCCCTCGCGTCTACGAAACACTTTGAAAACAGTCCCAAATTGCCCGAGATGAAAGGCAGCGCCAGGAAACAAATCAACAACTTTGAAGACGAGGAGCCCGACTACGCCATTGATACCTCTGCATTGGAACGCGCCTTCCCTGAATTCTCCCCTGTGGGCACCTCCGAAGATGACACCGATGAAAGCATATCGGTTGAAGCTGGACGGGGCGTTAACAAGCCGACGCGTCGGCTCGATGACTCGCGAAACTCCTTGATGAGTATAGAAAATAGTGTGCGGTCTTCCTCGCCTGCCGTCAGACTTGATTATCCCACCTCGCATACGCCTCAGAAATCGGCCATGCGCGTCTCCTCCAGAAGGGCCGCCAGCGAGAGTCTACGAAGAGACGCTCAGCTGAGACAGGCCAGTCTTGCCCACAAGGAAAATCGTGACCCTCTTTCGTCCAAAACAGCCCGCAAGGACCAGCGGCGGACATTGTCTGAAATGCACGCAAAGGTCCGTGATTCATACGACGGTTCCTTCATTGCCGATGAGAGACCTCAGCCTGTGGCAACCAGTACGCGTGCGACGCGCTTCGGAAACGTCAATCTTTCTCATCAGATAGCGGAGGCGGTGGAGAGAGCATCACAGGAGGCTTATGCTAAGGAAATGCGCCGGGGGAAGTTGTCCAGCAACCTGCGCAACGGCTCCGGCAATGGTGCTGGTGACACGGGCACAATGCAGTCTTTTCTTCTTCCCGATCTTCCCAATTTGTCGGAGTTGATCTCGGGTGTCTACGAAGACGGCGCACCGGTTTATACCCGCCAGAGCCGAGCTAGGGCGACAAGATTTGTTTCTCCTCCCAATGACGGTGCTGATGTGTCCATGACTCGTGAACATATCCCCCTCGACGCGATTCCCATTCCAGAAGACGAAAAGGCCCTCTTTGTTTCTCTGAGACTTCTGCAGGACAAAGTTTCGGAGCTTGAAAGGGCAAAGTCGGATGCGGAGAGAAAAATAGATGAAATGCGACAGGAAAATGCGGCTTTGAAGGCTGGCCGGTCTAACCGCAAGGACAAACACGGCCGTTCTCGCGTGTATGAATCCGAAGACGATGACCACAGAAGGGAAGTTGGGTCTCATTATCAGAGTGAGTTACTTTACCTCTGCAGTTCAAGAATATCATGCTAACGGTTGCTTCAGAACTCGAAGCCTCAAATCTAGCTTTGCAGAACCAATTGGATGTCGCTGAGCGGAAAGCGCAGATGAGCGAGGCGGCGCTGAAGAAATTAAACCGTGAGAGAGACATGGCTGTTTCTCAATTGGGAATAGCCTATCTCGAATCTCGCGATCTGAAAAGCGAGAATGACAGCCTTCGACAAGAGAATGCTGAACTTAAGGCACAGCTGGCTAAATTTGTCTCGCTGGCCTCAAAAACTCGCGAGGATACTGGCCGTTCAGAAGCAACATCCGCGACGGAAGCAAGCGTTGAAAGCGGCCAGCTCGACACGCAGCGAAGTGAGGACATGAGCCGGGCCACTAAAGATCCTACCAGTAAGAGTACAAGATCGAAGAGGGCCGGCGGCGTAGAAGACTCGCGCACAAAGATCTCTAAACAGGTCGACAAGGAGATTTCTCGTCTTGAGAAAGAGCGAGCCGAAGAAGCTCTTTTCTCGATTGACCTGCCGAAGACCAGGGCCTCGAGCTCCCGAGCCGAGAGATCCCAGACTCGGACGCAAACAGGCAACGCGAAAGCAAAGAAACAGCCAAACACAGGAAAGCAGCGGGTGAAAAGGGTGATCGTGGAAGAAGTCGATGTCACTGAGCCTTTGGATTCAGCCACTGAGGACGCCACGGGCCATACCAAGAAATCCTCCGCCACAGAGCAAGACTTGACGTTGTTGAGCTTCGTTGACGTGAGTTTGTTACTTTGCTTACGATTGCTTGCCGCTAATGTGATTGCTATAGGAACGTGAAATCGCTCAACTGCGGAAGACTCTAGAAGAAGAACGACTTGCGCGTAGACGGCGACAGTCGATATCAACCAAAGTTCAAAATGCAGACGAGACCGCAAACTCTACCCGTCAAAGTGTATCAAAATCAGCTGCGCCTCGCAAGTCCTCGATGAAGGAGAGTAAAGCCCCGATAACAAGACCCGCCTCGGCAATGGGTGATCTGACAGCCACATCGAAAGTCAGCATGGCTGAGGCAGACAGTAATCTTTCCGTGCCCATTGAACGCCCAAGACGGCATTCGGATCACTCCATCATCTCCACTACTCAGCGGAGACGTCGCCCTGTTACTGACGACATGACTTCTGCTTTCATCCTGCCAGATATCACTATCCATCACGCTGATTTGGCAGCTGAGGACCCAAGTCGATTGCCCCAGGCTGCACAAAGGGCCTTGGACAGTGCTACACAGCATGATGGCAAGAACTGCACGGTTTGCAAGCGCTGCATTCCTGGTGACTCGCAATGCGACCATACTCATGGGACTGTAAAGATCCCGAAACCTGTACCCGTTTCGGAGCGCATGCCTGAGCCTTCTGTCTACAATGAGGAGCCTACGTTGCGCCCTGCTCAATCTCCGGGTGTTGCCCTCGCGACGGTGCTCAAGGCATTGGAGGACGAACTGTCGCATCTGAAAATGCAGCTTGTAACCTATCAAGGGGCGTATAACAAGCTGGATGCCTCGTTGAGCAAACGCCAGAGGAAATCGTTGGCCGCCAAGATTGAAAAGCTTCTTAAGGACATCGACTTCAAAGCTGATCAAATCTATGCACTCTACGATGTTCTTGAAGGCCAAAAACAGAACGGACACGAGATGACTGAGCAAGAGATGGAGGTCACGCTTCAATCCATTGGGATCGACACCGCCGCCACCACAAGGGCTGCGGATGTGACCGCTACGACAGATAAATCTTCCCACAGAAATAATGATACTGACTTGGAAGATGATGAGGAACTACCATGGGAGGGCATTGAGAGCACAATGGAAGTTACAGGCAGAATTGGAAACTAGCTTCACTCCAGGCCCGCTGAATCTCTTCTCTCATTCCTTGCATATTCTCTTTCCATTCCCTATTGATCTACCTTTCCGTTCGACTCCTTTCATGCTCTCTCGCATGGATCTCGGTTCAGGTTTCCGACTGACCTCTTGGAGGTGTATGTCCCTGATCCTTGAGAACTATGCGTTGGGCTGGGACACCGTTTCTGTGTTCCCTGACAGACAGGTACGGTCCGCTGATAGACTCGGCGCCTGACTATCCTTGAAGCAGGGATTGGGAACGTCTTACGTTACTTGAGATCGGCTTAGCAGTGTTGACTGATCAGAAGTAAACTGTCCGCTGCACGGCCTCGATCTCGTAGCTTAGGATACGTTCTTTCCATTCTTCTTTTTCGTTTCTGTTCTTTTTCTCCAGTGAGGTTTTAGCTTGTGAAAGGTGTCCTGGTGGAGTTTATAAGTGTGTTCTATTTAATTCTCTTAGCATTTGGGCAAGGGACTTGGTTGGATTTCGAGTGTATGTTATGCTTTCAATGGTTCAATGCACGAAATGCACCAATTCATTATGCATTGTCTTCAGCTGCAATATGTGGCTATTGGAGCGTAGCATCTCAAGTCATGAAACCTCACGCGTGGTACTGCATGTGCCATATAACCAACTAATCATGAATTCCCGAAAATGCAACTATGATTCATTTCATGCAGTTCTGCAGACAAGACTTTTAAGACCCGAAATATATCCCGAAACCATATCAAGTGGTGCGAACCAACGTAGGAGATCATGTTCGCATCGCATATCCAATGCGCTATACATCTCATAACTGTACAGCAATCGAGCTTAGATCGAGTTCATGCCCTCCACATCATCCATGTCGCGGTAGAACCCGGCGACCAAAAAGGCAAGCTCCAACGCCTGCTTCTCGTTCAGGCGCGGGTCACAGAACGTCGTGTACCGCTCGCTCAGCCCCTCCTCGGTCAGCCCGCCCGCGCCGCCGACACACTCCGTGACGGCCTCGCCTGTGAGTTCGAGGTGCATGCCGCCGAGGAAGGACTGCGCGGCACGGTGGATCTCGAGTGCCTGCCGCAGCTCGGAGAGGATGTCGCGGAAGTGCCGTGTTTTCACGCCCGAGGGGGTAGTCTGCGTGTTGCCGTGCATGGGGTCGCATTGCCAGACGGGGAGGTGGCCGGCGCGTTGGACGGCGGCGATGTGGGCGGGGAGGTGCTGGCTGATCTTGCTGGCGCCGTAGCGGGAGATCAGGGTTACCTTGCCGATTTCGCGGTTGGGGTTGACGACGTCGAGGAGGCGGACGAGCTCGTCGGGGGTCATGCTGGGGCCGATCTTGATGCCGATGGGGTTGGCGATGCCGCGGAAGAATTCGACGTGGGCGCCGTCGAGCTGGCGCGTGCGGTCGCCGATCCAGAGGAAGTGTGCTGAGGTGGCGTAGTAGCTTGCTGTGGGTTGTGGAGTCGTGGTCAGTGGGTTGCGGAGGAGGCGGGTGAGACTCTGCTCGTATTCAAGGAGGAGACCCTCGTGGCTGGTGAAGACGTCGACGGTCTCAACGCCGCGGTCTGTGTCGATTCCGACTGTGTGCATGAAACGCAGCGCGTCCTTGACTCGGCTGACGATGCGCTCGTACTTCTCCTTGATGGAGGGCTCAATGACGTGACCGAGTCCCCAGTCCAGTGGGGAATGGAGATCCGCGAGACCGGACGAGAGTGAGGCGCGCATGTAGTTAAGCGTGGCAGCGGAGTGGAAGTACGCCGAGACAAGCCGTGACGGGTCCGGCCGGCGAGATTCTGCGGTGGCAGCGAAGCCGTTGATGTTGTCACCGCGGAACGAGGGCATCTCAACGCCGTTGACCACCTCCATAGGGCTTGATCGGGGCCTGACTCTGTCAGCAACGAAGGAAGGGACGGGCGAAGGGCAAGGTCGTGCAACTCACTTGGCAAATTGCCCGGCTATACGTGCGATTCGCACTACAGGTTTGTTTGCGCCTGACCGCTATTAGTACATGTCGATAGATGACAGAAGGCGTAAATGTACCCCAAATCAAAATCAAGCTCATTTGCAGAAGCACCTTGAGTTTCGCTTCTATCATATCCTGATTACAGTAGTCAAACAGCTCAGCGCAGTCCCCTACGAACAACACAGCAGTTAGACACTGTAGTTAGAGACCAGTATTACGGGTTCAGGTAGGACAATGTACCTCCTTGTAGAACAAAAGCTTTGCCCAAGGCAACATTTCGCAAGCTCTTTTTCAGATTCGCAATCTGACATTCGACGGTTAGCACCACACTCACCCCTGATTAAGAGTTAAAGTAGGATGCTACGCCGTACCTCTTGCGTTGTGACAAGCGGAGGTAGCTTCTGGAGCTTGCTCAGAGCGGCTTGTACTCCTTCCCTATCATCATAGACAACATCTTGCTTGATGGGTTTCGTAGTCCAAGCTGATAGACACAGTCAGCATCAGCTCCTGCAATTGCTGCCCCTTCGAAGGATGAACGACTTACAACTTGGAGTCCAGTCATCCATAGTGAGGGTCATGATCGACGCTATTGCCTCGCAATAAGTATAAACAAGCTTGTTTAAGCTCCTTCAGTATCCGATCAGATGCTGGATTGACTAAAGAATCAAGTCTCAGTCCGGGAGAGCTTAGCAGTTAAAAGAATGACACATGTAAGCAAGGGATCGCTTGCTGTCACAGTCAGCCTCACAATCACAGTCACACAAAGAGTGCCCGCTGTAACGCTGTAAGCCTGAAAAAAAGAAAGCGCTTATTCGCGGCCTGAGTCATCAGCTTATCCACCCTAGTCCAGACTGAGTAAGGCGCGTCCTTATCGTAATCGGCCACTTTCTTATCGCGTCATCCCATGCGGAGTAAGAGACCTTTGGAGGCATCATCTTCATCTTATCATCTTGCTCTCAACTGTCCCATCATTTTCATATATATACGCTCAATAGCTCATTGAAATGTCAGACTCCCTCCCCGCCGCATCCCATGACCCGGACTCTGTTGAGCGATCTCCCCCCGCGCACGCCGAAGACCGAAAAGCCGCTGCCGCGCTTTCCTCCCTGCACACCAATGAGATCGGCGCGGAACCGGGCAATAACTCTTCGTCCGCTAATCAGGAGGCACTCGGGAAAGCGATGAGTAGGCTGGAGATTGCTCCGGGTACAGATGCAGCGGCCAGGACGGTAGACGCCAAGAAGACACAAGCAGTGACGAAGAAGGCTGTGAAGGTTTCGGCGGAGGACGTGAATATATTAGTGCGTTACCCCCTGCCTGTCATGGAATAAGCTATGCTGGTGAATTAGTGTCCGGTGGTGCTAATGTGCTGCAGGTACAGGAATTGGACTTGAGCAAGATCAAGGCGACGGAGTTGCTAAAGGCGCATGATGGTGATTTGAGGAGAGCAATCAGGGCGTTTATTAGCCCTATGGGAGCATGACGTGCTGCTCCTGGGTATAACTGCAGGACGGAAGCTATGATGGATACTGGTACGATGAGATGGGTCTGACAGGGCAAGCCGGGACGAACCCTGGTTCGCAGGTGTTGATCGCACCAGTCTATCTAATGACAGGCCGTACGAATTGATGATCACAAAATTAGCTACTATTTCTCTTCATCTCTATCAACAACCGTATAGACATATCTCATAATTCGTATCTCATAGCCATATATACCGAACGCCATCATCACTTTTATCTAACAGTCGAGCCCAGCGCGAGCCTTAGAGAATAGCATCAACCTTCCTGGGCGCCTTCTCTCCGATCTTTCCTTGTCTCGATCCCCTTTCCCTCATATATAGTCCACAGCAGCAGCCATCCAACCAATGCTTCCAACGCCAGTGCCCACCAAATACCACCAACAAGATTATTTTTCAACCCCAGCCCTAGCCCCCATCCACCGATGAAGGGGCCCAGTGTGCGCGCCGCACTCGCTATGCTCTGAGCGACGCCATGCACCGTGCCGAGAATTGACGGATCAGTTACACAGTTATTCACAAGAATAATAGCAGCTGGAAGAGCAAATGTCCGAGAAATCACCTGCAGCCCAACCACAACTGTAAAGGCTGGCCAGACTAGCCATGGATACCGAGGAATGATCACTAAGAACGGCATCAGAGTATAGGCCAGCGGTGAAAACGGCAAGAAGGTGCGGAAAGAGGTCAATGTCCCTAGACGAGATTGGATTTGAGGGTATACGAAGATCTGCAACGGGAGGCCGATGACCCCGATAATTGCCGTTGCAAGGCCGACACGGGAGGACGGTAGTCCCAGGCCACCGCCGAAATGGAAGAAGCCTTGCCGGCTATTCTCTGGCGCCCTCGGGGTAGGGAGGAAGACAAAAGTCATGGCGTTAAAGGCGCTGGTGTGGAACGCCAAAAGAAAATGAACTAACAATGTCAATAGAACATTGGGGGTCCATATCTGACGGAACCCCAGCCGTTTATGGCGAGGAAGCGCTTGCAAGCGGATCGGACTAGACGGGGCTGATCTGCTGGTCACACTACCGTCCATACAAAGAGACTCGTTGTCCTCGAGGTTCCTCAACCGGCGATAATGACCTGGAACCCGACGTCGGGAGAAGAATCTGGCGAGTGTCCTTCCAACCTGGCGGCCCCAGTCGCTTCGGTACCGTGCAATCTCATGTGTCTAGGGGGCTAGGTTAGATTTCGACCCGTCCAAGAAACGTGTATAGACACTTACCTCATCGAGCCCAAACAAAATAGCAAAAAAGGCAGTAAAGGTGAAGATAGCATTGAGGATATTTGGCAACGCAAACGGCCACCGCTCCATCCACCACACACCATCCTTCCCACCAAAGAACGACCCAGAGCCAAACAGATGAGGATAGCTGTTGATAGGATCGGCCAAGGAGCCCCCGATAATAGGGCCAACAATAACCCCAATGTTGAAGCACATCGGAAGTAGCAGGAACGCGCGCGACTGATACCTGCACAGTACACCCGTCAGAAACACCTTCACCCAGGCGCGAACCAAATGCACTTACTTCTTCTCCTCGATAATTTCCGATATCATCGTCCGCATCACGCCAACGTTACTATTCAGAATTCCCCGAGAACCCGAAACACCGCTGCCGCCGCAAACGACCTCGAAAACCCAAACCCTAGACACGAGATACATGTCCCCAGTAACCCAATCAGCAGCACACGCTTCCTCCCCATCCACTCCGCGTCCGCCAACCGGCCCCACCAGACCGCCGTGAGAAACTGCGCGGCGGTAAAGCTGCCCTGCATGATGCCCGCCTGCGTTGAAATAGTCGAGTCTGGCAGCGAAGGGTCGAACGACTTGAGCTGGTAGAAGAGGTACGCCTGGAGCGAAGTTTGGGTCAGTGGCTCGGAGAGACGGGCAAAGGTGAGGATGGCGAGTTGGCCCTTTTTGGGAAGGGAGGCCCAAGTCACGGGTTTCTCATTTGAGGAGTCAATGACTGCATCAGTGTCTTCTGCGTCGTCATCGTCGTCGCTATCATCGAAGGGTGAGTCTGATGAGGTTCGTCCATGCCTGGTGATGTCGAGTCCGGGTGCGAGGGGAGGGGTTGAAGGATGACTACCGTCATCCTTCGTACTGCTTGTAATCGCTCCATCTCTGTCTGCGCCGGGGCAAGTTGATCCGCGACTGTTAGCATCTATGTGGTTGAGATGGAGTTGGGCATCATGCCGGGGATGATTTGTAGGGGCGGCGTGCATCAATGAAAAGCCAAGCTAGAGATGTAGTGAGGCGTGATATAGGGACTGATAGATTTCTACGTAGCAATCAGCAGGATTAGGCAGATATAATGATGCTAACAGTATACAAGGAATTCATTTCCTGTTCAGCAATAGTAAGGAGAAATCTGCGCTGACGAGATTTGAGGCTAAGCTCGCGTGACGCATCTTGAATTTATTTACTTTGTAGAATCTTATCGATAAGATCGGAGCACTGAAGAAGTGAGGAGAGTGCCGATTTAGCCGATCTCGGAGGATGCCTGATTGAGTCCCGAGGCCGTCACTGCAGCCTGAGGCATTCAAGAGTGTTCGGGAAGATAGAATTGATAATGCATATATTACGTATTCAGTGGTATATCCATAATGCAATCAACAAATGTACAGGGTATAACCCGACCAAAAAGGAAAAGAGAGAAATTGTGCCCATGAACCAAGAAAGCCTAACGCCTTTCATGCAATACGCGAATCGTCAGTTGATGAGTGGACTGCCAACCTTGGGCTTGAAAGCAAGACTCTTTCGTCGCGCAGCTTCCAGCTTGAATCGCAGTTTCTGAGTAGGCTCATTATCAGTCGACGACGAAGTCGAAAAGAGACCTTGCCGAGTCTGCTTTGGTGGGCACGTTTGTTGGACGAGCCTGGATTTCTGAGAGAGATAGAATGGGGTGGCAGGGGACATTCCGATATTGTCCATCCTGCTGAAATCATATCCAGAAGTGCCTGGTGTCTTTGGCGTCTGGCAATATTGCTGATCTGCCTCTGTGTGGGTTACGGCGTACTTTCTGTTGCTCTCCGGAGTCGAAGACTCTCCATGCGAAAGTGGAGGAGACTGTCTCTTAAAATCATCCATGGTGTGAAAATCAGCCCCGGAGCGTCTGCCAGATGCAGACGCTGATGCGCTGTTGTCCGCCTTGATCAGAGTTCCATTGATGTTGCTCAGCGCCCGAGGCTCCATGCTCTTCCTGCGCTTGGCACCACCACGAGGAATGATGGAGCTATCGACTGCGTAGTGGCTTTCATCAAGCCATTTGTTTTCTCGCTCGCAACTGGAGTTCCATGTCAGCATAACCTAACCGAGCAATATTGACAAGAATGCTTACTCAAGAACCCAACCAACACCGACACACTTGACCAGGCCAGCCGCTTGTCTGACCTTTTCCAGGGTTCTCACTCCTCCATCCTTGAACACAACGTGGGTAATTCCCACTTTGCTGTCTCTGCGGTTTGTCATATCGCCTGACGACATACTTGCGCGAGGATTCCATCCCCAACTCTTGACGCATCGAGCTCCCATCTGCTGCAGAAGTTCAATGAATATGCCGCTGGCATCTTCTCCCTCGGTTGTATGGACATCTACATATACAACCGCTCCTCCAAGAACGTTTTCACATGCGGCGATGTTCCTACGAGGAGTCTTTGAGGGGCTTGGAGATGCTGAAGGAGCCATGGAACGCCTACTCGACTGGCTGGCAACACTCCTCCGCCTGGAGTCACATTTTTGAGATCGGGGAGTCTCGTTATGTTGGAGTTTGGGCATCTTGCGAGGAGAGGCTTGTGTCGTACTCTGCTGCAGGGGAGCAAGCACAGGCTTTCGGAGCCGTGGAGATGAGCGGACAGGTGAAGAGATTGAGAGCGATCGGCCCCTTTTGCGGGACAGTTTCAAGGGTGAAACTTGACCTTCCGGCTTCAGAGGTACTTTGGATACCGTATGGAAGGTCTGTAGTGGGATCTTTTTCTGCTTGACGGGTGTGGCAGGAGCAGGCGATTCGACTCTTTCGTTCTCCTTGTTCTCGTCCGAATTATCTTCTTTCGGAGAGCTAGGCAAAACAACCGGGCTCTTGGCGATATCAGAAGCATGCGTAGGCTGACGGTTCAGGAACTCTTCGTATGCAGTCGGCTCAGCGAATTCGGGTTGCGGCTCGCTGAACAACTCGGTCATTGGCTCTCTCTGGGGAGACGATGTTGCCACAGCATTAGCACGAGACTCTTCCAAAACTTGCTCATCCTGGTCCTCGTAGATCTCTGGAACACCAGCGTAGATCTCGCTGTCGCGAGGGCGATCTGAAGCGCTGTCTTGAGGGGATCCAAGACGATTTTCGATGTCAGGGTAGGCCACTTCTTGAGGAATACGAGACCCACGACGAGAAGACCTCCGAAGTCCTCCGATGGAGAACACACCTCGCCCGGTGCGTTTTGGCTGGGCCTTCTCGGGGCTGCTAGCTTTCCATTGACTGAGCTGCTCTGCCAAAAGCGTGAACCGTGGACGGTTTCGCTGCATCAGAGATCCGCTTTCCGGGTCGTCACTGCAAACCGCCGCGGAGCTAGATGAATCGGGCAGGTCATTATGCTCGAACGAATGACTCTGGTCGTCCGTGGTGAGCCCAGACTCAGACATATCCTCTTCTTCGCGGTATTCCAGGTTACCATGGTAGGCAATGGCATCCTGGGTTGTCGACACTTGTAGTGCAAGGGAACGATCCTGGTCATGAAGGGGGCTATTCACTCTTTCCAGTTCCTGCTGAGCGTCTAGCTGAGCGTTGGACTGCGAATTCGGTTCTGCATCAGGCTGGACTTCATAGATATAGTGGTCCGTGGTATCAAATGCGACGAGCGTCGCCTCGTCATCATCAAAGTATTCGCTATTGTGGAAATCAACATACTCATCGTTTACCTCATCAGGTTGGACATCGACTTGAACAGCGCCACTTCCCGTACTCTCCGGAATAGGGTCAGCGTCAGATTCACCGTCAACATCTTCATCGGCCACCGGTGCGTCAGTGAAAACATCTTCAAGTCCCTCAATCGAGTGTCGCTGAAACGGCAGGCTTGACTCCTCTGTCACAGCTTGAACCTCGCTGCTGTATACGTCCTGCATCATGTGCTTTTCCTCTGGCTCTGATTCAGTTTCGTCC